GTTACATGACGTTACAGTACAAGTTCTCATATGTCCTGAGTCTTAATTGACCTTGGAAGGCTAGGGCCAAAATGTTGGCTTTCCTTGTGGCCCTTCTTTTTCTCTAATTTTGGTCTGCAAACTTAGGTTGTTAGCCCTCCACAAGAGAAGCTTATAGTTATTACCATACAACCTAGGCTGTTAAGCCTAACCTCACTATCTTTCTGAATATCAAACATCTTAGGCATAATATGGAACAGGTATTCTTCATCAAGTATTGATATGTCGAATTTTAAGTCCCTACAGAGTATGATGAAGAAACATTTAAAAATTAGAATATATTTTAAAAATAGGCATAAAGAATTATATAATTCTTATGTTTACACATATGTCCAAAAATCTAACCATATACAACCTTGAAGCAAGACAGTCCCACAACATTCCTTTTCCTGTCTCCTGCATTCATTCACCAACCTCTTCTTTTTGAACAATCATCTACCGGAAGGACAGCACAGCAGCAACTGGCATGTCATGACAAGCAGCCCATATTCAGAAGACCAGAATGATGGGCACTCGAAGTATGAACCTACTATTACAAATTGCCATCTTCACTGCAGTTGATTATTTCACAGGTGTCAGTATATATAGTTAGTCAGGGTGAGAATCTTTGCAATTAACTGCTAGATTCAAAAATCTTCTGGAGATTCTCAGGATCATTGCCTTGCCCATCTTCTTCATATAACTGTATGGCTTGCCACTGTCATGTTTCCTAGCTCTTCTCCTTTCTTGCTCTTAATTAGTTAGTCCTCGAGTTCTTGCTTTCCTTTTACTTGTATTTTACTTTTCTATTTGTATTTCTTCTTTTAAGTTCTTATACTGGGAAAACTATATGATATTTACACGTGTGTCTGGCTTATTACACTTACGAGTATATCTTCGAGTGGCATCCACTTCAATATAAAGGCTTCAAGTTTATCATTCTTTATGGCTGAGTAATACTCCATAGTGTAAAAATACCACAACTTTTTCAACCATTTCTCAGGTGATAGGCATTTCGGTTGTTTCCAAGATTTGGCTATCACAAATTGTGCTGCTATAAAATAGGCACACATATATCCCTATGATATGATGTTTTCAGATCCTCTGGGAAAATTCCCAGTAGAGGAATAGCTGGTTTAAACTATTCTAAGGAGTCTCCACACTCATTTCCATAACGGTTGCACCAGTCTACATTCCCACCAGCAGTGGAGAAG